CACTCGGGACAGATATCAAAGAGACTCAGGGGGCTGTTATCTGGAGGTGCAGTGTCAGACCCCTGCTGCTGCTGTGCTTCTCATTAGTTCCTCTACCTCCCTCCCTCCACCGCTTCTCATGCTCCCTTCTTCAACACTTGTCACCGAGCTGTCAGCTGCCCGCTCAACTGAAGACAGATGGACAAGCCTGGGGAGTGGAGGGAATGGATGAGAGAAAGAAAGACAGTAAGAAAGAACAGAGGAAGAGAAAAAAAGATTTCAAGGTTTGAGTCAGGGTTGTCAGTGGAAGCAAACACCAGAGGGGATCTATTTCTATGAGCTCCACTCCTGTAAATGTCTTCTTTCTCCCCCTGCCACAATCTGAGTACAGAGAAAAACCGGGAGCAGAAAGACTGGGCTCTCTCAATTTGACTTCAGTGAGACAGAGAGTAATAAAAGAAACAGAAAGAGGAGAGAATGGAAGAGTAACAGCTATGGCAGCAACCTGGTGTCTCACCAGGAAACCGACAGGGTTCGATCCACCAGTGACAGATGAGAAATGAACGAGCACCATAATGACTTCTGCCTCGGCTCATTATGCACCAAACATAAATGTCAAACATATGAGGAGCTGCTTTGGGATTAAACTGTGAGTGTGGGGTGGCAGAAAAAAGATTTAAACACTACAAGCATTTCTTTGCAATTACAATTTGTAACAATTCTTATTGTCATGAAATATTTTATTCTCTGGGATTTCCAGCAGGACGAGCCTCTAAAACATAGATGGTTTGGTTTTGGTGTCAGTTCCTCGGAATCAAAGAGCTTCTTTGTGGAGCCGCCATTTTACTGTTACACAGATATTCAACAATCATATAGAGAGAAATCCAAATGATGGAAGGAACAGAGGTATCATTGATTTTTGGTTCATCCATAATTCCCCTCTGCATTGTTTCAGCTTCTCTGTTTGACTGAAGGTGTTCAGTTTATGAAGAAGAACTGTGTGTAATGAATCACCAGGATCCCTGAGTGTATCAGTGCAGCTCCTGTCAATAGTGACTGAATGACCTTGAAAGTCTCAGAAAAACAAGTCTAAAGCAAAGCCAGCATCTCTGAATCTCTGTATTTAAACCAAGAAATGCTTTGAGCGAAATACCAACATGCAAACATAGACACAGTAACAATGTTTAGCAAGTGCTTTGTTTGTTGTGTTACAATGGTACTAGCTGTCAGTCAGGCTCTGACTCCTGAGTAACTAACAAGTGATCTAATGTTGATGTAGAGTAAACTGTGAAAACACCAACACGAAGAGAAAAAGGGGGATTTCAATTTCAATTCATTTTTATTTTATTTGTATAGCACCAAATCGTAATATACATTATCTCAGGGCTTTTGACATAGAAGGTCACAACCTTAAAATCATATTTAGAGAGAGAGAGAGAGATAGGTGGGAGGGGTAGGTGAGAGAGAGACACCAAGAACAGTTGTGTAACCATCATGTTTCAGGTCTGACAGACTAGTTTGTTTTAATGGGTTAACAATAAGAGCCTAACCCAATAAGAGTGATAATTATAGATGTAAAGATGTTGTTGATTAATAATAATAATCAACCAACACCTGTGACAGGCACCTATTATATAGAGTAACCACGCCCAAATGCATAGGATGCTTTATCTGTCATGTCTCCTGTGTTTTTGGTCCTCTTGTATAAAAAGAGAGTTTTCATTTCAATTATGGACTGTGTTTTTTTTTAGGTTTGGAATTGTGTTTTAAGTTTTGCTCCCTTTGTCCCTCTCCTGTGTCCCACTATGTTCCTTCCTGTGTCTCATTTTGTGTCCCTCTCTGTGTCCCTCTGTGTTCATTTTGGTGTTCCACCTTCTGTTCATCTCTGTTTCCTGTTTTATTTTGTAGTCTCTGCTCCTTGTGTGTTTTCCCCCTGGACTTCCTGCCCTCGTCAGTCTCACCTGTTTGTCCTGTGCCACCTGTCTCCAGTTTCTCATTAGTTCAGTGTGTATTTAAGTCTTTGTGCTTCCCTATTTCTTTGTCAGTTCATTGTTGTGAGATGCCTTTCCATGTCCCTGTGTTGGTCACCACTCGTCGTTGTTTCCAGTAAGTGCTCTAGTGTTTCCTTGTGTCTCCCCTGTTTTTGCTTAAGAGCATTTTGGAGTTCACTGTTGTTTTTGATTTGGTTCTTATGCCCTGCTTTAATCATTAAAGGACACTTTTTGTTAAAACCCTTTGTTCTGCCTTTTGGGTCCACCTGCTCCCTTACCCTCTCCCCACAACACCTAACATTATCACCTTTTTTTTTTTACATCTGTGAAGAAAGTTATGTTATGATCGGAAGTTGTTTTTTTTTCAGTCTCTTAGCAGCATAACACAAACTGGACAGATCGCCACGAAACTTGATGGAAGGCTTCAGTATGAGCTGGTGAACATCTGGATCAAGGTGTGGATTAAGGATTTTCTTTTCACTTTCTATAATATTGTGAGAGTTTGTTTAAGGGACTGTTGGACCTCGGCTGAGGTGTGAGCTCTATCAAGTGGTATTGTTGTGTGGACCATAATTTACTAAATGAACATCAGCTGTATGAAAAAGACTTGAAACCAGAGAATGAGCCATAAACTGCTCAGGAAAATGTTTACTGAGGTTATAAAGTGAGAAGTAGATTCATTTTCTCATAGGCTTCTATTGTAACAACCAGTGGAGTCGCCCCCTACTGGTCATTACACAGAAGATAGACACATGGGCTTCGCTTTCCAGAAATAGTCTGCTTTCAACAGTTCATGGTTTGAGCAAGTTGTTTTGGCTAAAACCAGCTGTGAGCATCACATCATCATCTGTAACATCTAGCATGAGATGGGTCAGAAAAGAGAGGGCACCATGATTTATAAGTTCAATACTTTAGCTTGGCCATGGGAGAGTGTTAACAATTGACAAATGCATGATGAATGCTGAGGGTTTTTTCTCTTGGTGATTGGACAGGTGTAGGAAACAACTGAGAGTTTGTTTCAGTGGAATGAATTTATGTCTGAGGGATTTGCAGGAGAGAGATTTGCGCAGCAACAGAGATAATCAGACGATGGCACTAGAAACTCCAAGACGTTGTCTGCTGCAGAACTGTCACTGTTTCTCTGTTAACGGTTTATATTTTATCACTTGTTGAGAGCAGATATTTAATCCGAAAGTGTGGAGTTAATGTTTGAATCATCTGAATACATCTCTCTTTCTTCTGTAATTCTCAATTCATAATTTTGTTATCCCTCAACCCACTGCCCAACAACACACTCACCAGCAGCCGCTGAATAATCACACATTATTGGTCACATTGAGTTTCTGTTTGTAATGCATGTTTTCGAATGGAAATCTCAGAACTAATCGCTCACCGTGCGTGTGCGTGTGTGCGCGCGTGTGTTCTATAAAAACAAATGTTTTAATTAACTCTAACAGTGAAACTTACATCAGAAGAATGTCCTCAGGGAAAAGTCCCACTTGCAAACAGACTAAAGCTTTTCCCAGGTGAAACTATAAAAAAAAAAAAAAAAAACAGACTGAATAACTGACGCATTTTATTCACTCTTGGATAAAATGTAAATAAAACTGTTGAGGATCTGTGGTCTAAAATATTGAGTAGGTTTGCTGCTCTGTCATTTTTTCTCACATTCTTTCACCTGCATCTCTTAAATCTTTACTCAAAGGAAATGGTGCTTTGAATATTAAACAGTGTGAAATGTTTGGATCTTGTGATTTGTGGTCACATGCAGCATGTTGTCTAACAAACAAGTTGTGATGGTTATTTGCACAAAATTAACAAGACAAGCTCTTCCTGATTTGAACCTTTTATTTGGCAACAATGTTAACTGCTGCACCACTGTGCCCCCCCATTTGAAATCATCTAACTGGAATCCTAACAGAAGACAGCTTGTTCCTCAAAGCAGCAAACCTTTCTGAACCATCTCCCAACCCTACAAATGGTGGAGTTTTGGTGGATTATTCCTTTAACTGTCATCAAAGTGTGTGAGTGTGAGAGAGATATTGTGCAATTGAGACAAGGTGTAACTGCTGGTTTCTTAGGTTTGCTTTGTCTATTCAATATAAAAGGACAGAGGCAGTTTACAGACTCTGTTAATAACACAAGCGTAGCCCTTACAAATATTTTGCACACACACTGAGTCGGATGATGAATGTGTAGCCTGCAGCAGCTGTGTGTGACACTGATGTGGATTAAGATATTGTAGACAGAAGGAGTCAATCGGCTCAGTGTAGAAATCCAGTCAAAAGATAAGAGAGGTCTCATCGCCTCGTTCTCATTCACAGCCTCCTTCTGCCACAAGCTCACTGGTATCTCCGGTATCTCCGACACAGATAATGACACAGGATATCCACTCACACTGCCTCACTGCAACCTGCTGTGGCAAGATGTTACAAACAAGACAAAGCAAGTGTGGCTCAACTGAGCATATAAAAGATGCAGAGCATCCCTCATGTATCAGTCCATCCGCCACATATAATATTAACACTCTGTGATTACAGTATTCCTCCCTCTGTCTCTGCTGAGGTATCGCTGTTGCTGGAGATCAGTGCAGATAAATAATGCATACTGCTCAGACGTGGCACGACTGCTGAACACACACAGACAGTATAGTGCTTTCCCCCACCAGCCTGCACACAGCATGCAACACTTAAGGAAAGCATCCATTAATATTACAGCAAAATTTATCAACCCATCTGTATTCAGAGTTCATTCTGGAAATGATACTCTCACACTGGGATGAAATAGAAGAGAGCAAATCACATTCTGGACTCTTGTTGATGATGACATTCAACCATCAGGAGCCATCACTGTCTCTGCTGATGCTCCGCTGCTCACGCCGCATTCCTGCACACTCCTAACTGAGGCTGCGACTGAACACCAAGTTGATTGCTCTCACACACCATTGATCTCCATGCTCCAATGACACATTCAAATTACACCTCAACAAAATCCACAAAAGACAAAAACGGTGAAGAAGAGTTTTCTCACCTGTATATGTGTTATCTCCTGTTCTGTCTGCGTGTGAAGCACAGAGCTGAAACTTCACCAGTGCTGATGGAACAATCTCTCTCTCTCTCTCTCTCTCTCTCTCTCTCTAACTGCTCGCCCTTCTCGCTCGCCCTCCTTGCTCTTTTTTCCCCGTCACTCGCTGTTTTTTCTCCATCTTCCTCTTTCTCTCTCCTTCACTGCCCTTCCTCAACCTGCTGCTATCTGGGAAGAGCAACCCCTCCCCCTTCATTATCTACACACAGATTATGTTTATATACACAGTAAATATGAGGTTTATATGCGCACACACCCACACATAAAAATAAATAAATATATATATATATATGTTTTAGAGGTGCACTGTCTGCCACCACAGTGACGCTGTTGGGGAGATGCACTCAGATATGATGCTCTGTTAATCTAAATCCTATTGTGTGTGTGGGGGGGGTTGTGTTTGTCACTGTGGTGTGTAAATGTTCACAGATAAATAGCAGGGGAGGAGGAGCTGTGCCATAATAAGCGTTGGGCTTCGATGTGTGGCGACAGGCTGCCAACTTCCTCTCTCCTGCTCGTTGTTGGGGCTCATTATCTCACTTCTGGGAGGAGGGGACAGCGCAGGAGGGTAGTGATGGTCTAGGAGTGGGGGGGTGAAGAGACAGAGGGAGAATACATGCAATGATCTCAAATTGAAATTCATCCTACTCCGTCTCCCTTTATAATCTTATGCAAATTCCACAGTCTGTTGCTTGCTCATATTTTAATGAGCACTTGACTAAATCCCTCCTGCGCTTTTGCTTTTCTTGGCCAGCATTTGGCAGACTGCCACGCTCTGTTGCATCTGAGCAACCCGGATGCTTCTCGGCAAACTGGCACGCTCTTTGTGTTTTGGCCAAAGCACAGAAATAGAATTAACAGAGTGTGCAGGACGGCCACGCGATGAGGCTAAACACATCTACTTTCATGCTGGCAACATGCGTGTGTGCTCTGACCAAAAGGAGGTAATGGGCTGTGAAGCCACCAGAGTTCAGGACACATAAGCTGCTTTCAGACATGCACTGAACTCTGCAGCTCCTCCGTATTTTCTCTGGAGGAGGTGCATGTGTGCAAATGTCAGAGTGAGACTCAGTTTCTCTTTCTCCTCCTGATCTCCTGTATAAAGAATAAATCCACTGTGAACACAGCAGAGGATCCTCCACTGATTCACTGTGAGTGAGTGGGGGGGTGATGGACCTCTAACGTGACAGACGCAAGCATGTAAAAACTAAAACAAATGTAATGTAAAAAAGATCACATGATCTCCGCAGCAGAGTTAATACGTTGGTTCTTGTCTCTGTCTGCTCCACCTCTCACCTGAAGAATGAAGAGGATTTGATGCTGTTCTGAACGAGTCTGTGCAGAAAACCTGCTGCTGTGTTGTTGTACATAAACTCTGTAGGCAATACTCCAGAATCTACCTGAGGGTCATGTCCGAAAACGGCTATAGACCGTATGTTAACACTGACCTACTTGTGTGTATTTGTAAAAAAACAATTCATATTATTGTTATCATATCAACTGTTGCTACAATCATATCTATAAATATCACTCTTGTTTTTGTCAGAGCTGAAACCTGATGGTTACACAATTGCTCCTGGTCTCTCTCTCCTCCCTCCTCCCTCTTTCTCTGTCTCTCCTCTCCCATCTCTCTCTTTCTCTCTTTTCTCTGTCTCTCCTCCCCCATCTCTCTCTCTTCTATCTCTCTCTGTCTCTCTATCTCTC